GGGCTTCGGCCAACAAATATGCCGGCGTACGAGTTCGGAGAATTCAGCGAACGCGCACGCGACATCACAGCATTCACTGATCCCGGGTACTTCCACGGATGCGACTGACTCTCCCACTACCGAGACCACCCGTTCCATCACTGACACCTGACACTCTGCCGCTAATGCCCGGCGCTCCCCAGCCAGGTTGTTCACTCTTCGCCTTCGGCGCGGCGACGCTAATCCTTGCGGCGGGATTGCACAGCCGGCCCAGGAATGCCAAGGTGTGGCTCGCCTTCTCGCTGTTTGCACGCTAGCGACTCGGTGTGAAGCATTCCCGCCGATCGCGTCACTCTGAGCCCACGTCACTTGCTCGGCTTGTTCGCGCCTCGCCTGCATAGCGGAGAGACCTGGAAGGCCCTGAGCCCGACGTTAATCAGTGGGGAATGCTGCTGGTCCCCCGGCCAGGCCGGGCATCCCACGGTCCGCACAGCGCAGGGACAGGGCAGCCGGGCTTCTCCATCACGGGACAGCCCCTCCGCGGCGTCTCGGTGCGGAGCACGTCGTGGTCGGTCGGACGCAGCCCTAACAACGCAGCCGTGCTGATTGCCGGACGGTGGTGCCCCATCCCCCCCTAGATGACCGGACGGTAGCGCCCCATCTCCCCCAGACGACCGGACGGTAACGCACCATCTCCCCCAGATGACCGGACGGTAGCGCCCCATCTCCCCCAGATGACCAGACGGTGACCTGCCCCGTCCGCAGAGGTGACCCGAGAACGCATCTCCTCGCTCAGAGCTGACTCGACCAGAGTGTATCCCCTTCCCCGGAGCTGGCCGCAGGAAAGCACATCCCCTTCTCCGGAGATGACCTGACGGGAGCAGACCCCCATTCCCGGAGATGGTATGACGGCAGCACGGCCCAACTGCAGAGACGTCCAGGCGGCGGCGACGGCACATTCCGCCGGCGGGTGTGGCTGGCGCCGAATCAATAACCCAACAAACGCCGGCGGGCTGCCGTCCATTTCAGCGCCAGCTTTATCAGCCGGCCCATTTTACGTTGCCGTTTGAGTTATGGGCGCCCGTAACTCGGATACAGCGACCTATCTCTCCAGTTTACGGCGCCGGCGAGCCGCAGAAGTTGCAACGCTCAACAGACGGCTGGCGGCAAGGAGCAGCCGAGCCGTCAACGGCGGATCCCCGCACTCAGCTCGACGCAGCTCGCGCGCACCAGCCCCAGCACCTGCCCGCGGTGAGCGGCGCCGGCCACGCCGCCAGCGAGGAGCGCTAACTTTCTGTTTGCGCCGCCGCGACCTGTGGCACGACCGTGGGGCGGTCTCGCCTCGAGGGCCGGCCCGACCGTAAACTCGCCCGCTGCAATTTCGGGCGCGCGGCGGCCGGCTAGCGGCGCCGGCGAGCCGGCCTATTGACCTGTGGCTGCTCTTGGCCGGCCGCCGCCGCGCCGGCCGGCACAGGGCCGATTCGCGATGCGGCCGGCGCCGCCTCGCGGTGTAAGCCGGTCTGCGCCTCGCCGCTATTGCGGAATCTACTCCACAGGACGCCCAGGTATTGGTCTGACTGCCGATCCGCCAACGGGCCTGCGCCAATCTCTGCTCGCGCTGATCGAGTGTCAAGAGGCTGACTTGTTACGACGGGCCGGCTGCTCCTTTGATGCTGATGAAGCAGTCTTTTCCGTGAAGAATTCCCGTTGCTTTGCCTGGAAACTGACCTCATCCAATGGTGCCGCAGCTCTGTGATTGGCTTGACCAGCCTTGGCTAACGTTGAGGGCTGATTTTTTTTTTAGAACAGTGGACCTTTCTCAATATCGGCGCCGTTCGTAGGCGCTGTCGGAAAAATAACCCTAGTCACGAAAAGCCTTGCTTCATTTCAGAAGAATAGACCTACCCCACGAAGAGCGCCTGGTCTACTGTCGGAAGAACTGACCTTCCCCATGGATTGCGCCGCTTTTACTGTTGGAAGAACTGACCTGCTCACGAACAGCGCCGCTTCCACTGTCAATGACCGACCCTTACTACAATCAGCGCCAAGTTATTGGCGGAAGAACTGACCTATTCCACGACTGACACTACTTTTATCGTTGTAAGGACTGACATCCATCCCAGAATAAGGGCGCCACTTTTACCTGCTGGTGGAGAAATCAACATAACCACGAATTCTGCAGCTTATAATTTGGAAAGGACAGTGCCTGTCCACGGAGAGTGTCGGTTCTACTGTCGGATAATTTATCTCCCCACAAATTGCGTCGCCCTTGCCGCCGTAATGCTCGGCCTCACTTGAGCCCCACAGTTGCGTCTACTACTTTCTACCGCTCTCATTTTAAAGTTCGTAAAACTGGCTGCCAGGGGCCGCTTAGGCGGCTGGCATTTGTTATTTGTTTTAAAAACCGGTCTCAAAACAAAGTTCACCTTGCGGCCAGGACCTCATAAAGACGACGCGCTGCAACTGTGACGCAGGCAGCCTGCAACTGCTCTGCCGGCCGGGGACTTGACCTCCATCACACTTCAAGCCGTTCTAAGGTCAGAGGTCCCGACCTGCCTCGCTGCCAGCGCCGTTTTACTGCCAACGAAGCTGACTCAGTGCCAATTCAGCATCCGGGGAGCTGGCGATTTCTCTCGCGCCCGCATCTAACGCTGGCGATATTTCGCCTGTCGACCGCCGGCTTGACGTCAAATGCTAGTGATTTTTCGGTCGCGTGGCGTCTCTTTACCATCGGGACGCCACTTTTCCGGGCCGCTGGCTCGGCTGCACCGTTCGGGACCGGCCCACTCGCATGGCGGTAGCCGCCCCGTTTTATTGCCAATATCGAGAGAGAATGTCTCTGCCGACCGGCCTTCCATAATGGAATAACAGTTCCATCTGCCTTTGGAGCGGACGGACGGACGGAAATTTCGACCATTGCGAGTGACGGCGCGGGTCGTCCTCACGAGCCGACCGAGTAAGTACGTAAAAAACGCGCGGTCTATCTGCGCTGACGGACGGCGATCAGCGACGAGGACCAATCGCCGCCCGACGCGCCCCAACGAGATGCCATCTGCCCGGACGATATTAAAGCGGCGTATTTTTGCGCACGGCCAACGACGTTTTTAGGATTTGCACGAGCTTAGCCGTTTCCGAGTGATGACATATTGAATGAAAAACGGCACGTCCGCGGACATTTGTGTGCGCGTTCGCTACGCATGAGTTGTGTGAGTGTGCATGCCGAGCTCTTGTGCGGATCAAGGCCAGGAGACAGTTGCATACCACGCTGATTGGATAGGAGCCCGAACACGGCCGCTCGCCCTCCGCTGCGCGAGCGACTTTGAAATTTCGTCTTTTCTGCGGTTCATCAGCCGCGTTCGCGGTTAGCCGCTTCAGAAATGGCCTTCATCTGCTAATCAGCACATACGGACGCACCGGAGCCACGGTGAGGCCTAACGAGCTGCCTTTCCAGCTGATCTGCCGGAGGGCGCCCACGCAAGCGAACAGCGGAAATAAAAAGAGTGGAGAGGTGAGAGATATTGTGGGCAGGAGCGGGTTTCCACCGGCCCAGTCCTGGACGACTTCCAAAATTCGTCAGCGAGCTAGACAGCACCCCAGCAGAAAACGCCACGGCCCCTAGGCGACATTTCCGCGGCTAAATTATGAACAATTTTTATCCGCCTCATTGGCATGCACCACGTATAGCTTCAAAGCCATTTTAACCGACTACTTTCAATCTAATTTTCTGCCTGTGAAGCTTTAAATTGGGGCGAGCTTGCGGCGAGGAACGGGACAGTGTGCGCAGGCCGCACCCATCCTTGGTCGTCCCCCTTGCACCTCGCACCCGGCACACTCGGGCTGCGCCTAAATCAATACGGGCCCGCCCGATGCCACCGCAATCCAGGGCCGGCGGCGCTGATTAAAACCAAAAAGGCTTCGGCGCGGCCCGAGGCTGCGCACTCGTCAAATGAAACTAATTTCGCCGGTCCGAAAACCTTTACACGTAATTTGCCGTTCATTTAAATCGCCAATGATGAGCCGTAAATTTCGACAGGAAATGAGATTCTGGATTTAGCGGGCGGTCGGCGGCGGTTCCGGCGCGCGCGCCGTCGTTCGCCGCCGGGCGGGCGCCGACAGGAAATGTCGCAGACCGGCCGCCACGACAGATGGGAGCATATTCGGCGAATTACCGGCGCAGAAGTTGGAATACGATCCGGCCCCGGGAAATGGCGGCGTCGGTCGATTCGGAGATGCTAAGTTTGATTAAATTTTAGTCCGAACGTCCCGGGCACATTTGGTGTTGAGAGCTATTCGCAGTGACAGCGCTGATGTTTGGTCTGACTGCTGATGCGTGCAGCCAACTGGAGAGCCTCAAAGCTAACACGACAATGCCCCGAATTAAATGTCGAGCTTAGGGCGATCCAAATAACCAGCCGAGCATGTGTCTCACTGTTGTAAACTAGTGCTTGACAGAACGAGAAACAATGCATGCAATAAATTGAACCATATGCAAACATAACACTTTACACGAAAGCCCATCGATTACACGTCAACGCCCTTCCATATGACAATCCTTATCTAGATACCTGCAACTGTTTGACAACGAGCATGCATCCCCGACGTATATCACACCGTGCTTCCGCAGAGCATCCACCAACAAGCAAGATATCGCAGTAGTACGGGAAAAGCATCAAAGCATTCTCAAAGGCTTAGGCGTAGGAACGGAACGGAGGTTCCTTGGCGCCACGGCGTCCACACTTTCTGAAACAGCTGAGCGTCAGCCTCCTGGCAACGCATGGAAAGAATCGGCGTCAAAATTGCCCTTGGTACCCCACTTTTTTATGTTCCTTCACCTTTTCCCAAAGATTCAAACGTGCCGCGATAAGCATGCCGTCGACGGAATTAAAACATTTGCTGGCTTTGCACTGCCCGCCCCCACCGCCCGTGCTGAGAGGTCGAGGCGGTACTCACAAAAGGTCTAGTCTACTAGTGAGGCGTTGACCTGCTGCCAGTGCCGCGCTCCGCTGGCCGTGACGTAGGCGGCGGCGTGGTGGCGGCCGTCGACGGCTTGGTGGGAGCGGTGCTGCGCCGCGGCGGCAGCCGCCGCCTGCGCCGCTGCCGCCTGGTTGAACGTGAAGTCCAGGTTGCCTTCCATGCTGAGCTCCTGCTTGATGATGTTGTCAACGTCGCAGTCGAAGCCGCCCTGGAACGTGTCCAGGTCGAGGTCGACCGGCATGTGGTTCTGCTGCAGCGCGCCCATCAGGTTGGACATGAGCTGGGAGGGCGTCTGCGGGTCCTCGGGCCGCGGCGCCGACACGCGCATCAGCGAGCCCGCGAACGGTTGGCCGGCTGGCGGCGGCGGAGCGGCGAAGGCGCTGTTGCCGAAGCCCCCGGCGGTGTAGCTGCCGCCCGACGAGGCCGGCGACGCCGAGCTGAACATGTTGGACGGCGAGGCCGTGTAGGAGGAGGAGACCGGCGAGCTGTAGCTGGGCGAGGCGCCGTAGGCGCTGCTGGCCGGCAGGCCGTGGTACAGGCCCTCCGCCTGCGCGTAGTGGTCCACCGTCTGGCTGGGTGACATGGAGCTGACGCTGGCCGCTGGTGACACGGACTGGCGACAGAGAGAATACGGGTCAGCGGGTGACACGGACTGGCGACAGAGAGAACACGGGTCAGCGGGTGGCACAGGACTGGCGACAGAGAGAACACGGGTCAGCGGGTGACACGGACTGGCGACAGAGAGAACACGGGTCAGCGGGTGACACGGACTGGTGACAGAGGAGGCATGGGTTAGCAGGTGACACCAACTGATTGGAAGGCGACCCAGACGTGACATGGGTGGCGGAAGGAGCACGTAATCATCCGCATACCACCCCATTGGAAAAATCTGAAAGATCTACACTGACAGCAAGTTGCCTGACACCAAATGGCGTTGAAAGACTGGTGTTCACTCTGTGTCAGTGTAGCAGGTGACCAGGACTGCAGGCAGTTTAGGGCTAGATAACGGGGACATAAAGACTAGCTGGCAGTGATTCAAGAAATAGTTCACAAGTGACGACACTACAAAACATGGTAACTACTGGATGATCGACAGCTGCCAGCTGACGCCCGTTACAGGCAGAGAATTGGTATGTTCCAGAGATCCGACTTCTCCCGGTAAGGCTCGCGTATTGAAAGGCCATCGTGCCGTTTGCCATGGATCGACTTAAGCACGCACATGAATGGTGGGATGACGAGACGACACCAACGGGACCAGGAGCGCAGGGTCGTTCAAGAATGACGGCGGGACCAGCGGCTGGAGCCTCATTAGTCAGAGTCTCCACGCTCACGACTCTTTTTTCGAGAGCGTTTTTACGTGCGTCCGTGTGTGTCATTACTGTATATATCAAATGCATTCCAATGGTTGCCGTCGGATGAGTGACCCAATTACCAAAATCCGAGTGCACCAAACGCTCCGAACGCGGACACAGGCGGCGAGTCGTCTCCGTTCCGGGAAGAGTCTCTCGGCACGGTGGGTGGTGCGCATCTTCCCGTGACGCTACCATGGTAATTTGTCAGGTGAAACTAATATAGGTTTTTACATAAGAACTGATTGAGTTAGTCCCATGCATCTCGGTCTGGTCACGGGACATCGCTAACGGGACGACCAGGCCACTCGGGCCGCTCTGCTCGCTCTGCGCTCCGCCGCTTCACCATGCCGGGGTCTCGCCAGCGTGCTTCAAACGCGCGGTTTTCCGCAGACTCCGTGGCGGCGTTAGGCCGGGATGGTGCGGGCAGAGTTGTCTGGTATGCGTGATCATGACTCTCAGCATGATTGCCAGTTCCAGCCTATGCACGATTCCCAGTCCGCTTCAGTCGGAAAGAGCACGGTCAGGCGCGTGTGAGGAGGGGTCGAAGAGGTCGGATGATTTTCAGCCGAGTGAGATCGCCAACTGGAGAGCATGGGTGACATGGAGCGGGTCAGATGTGGTCAGCTGGCGCGGTTCCAGATCCCGGTCGTAAAGCAGCAGTTGGGCAAGCTCCGTCATGCTGGCGCGAGGCTTCGCCGGTGTCCTCGGGTTCCGTCATGCTTGTGCGAGGCTTCGCCAGTGTCCTCGGGCTCCGTCGTGCTTGTACGAGGCTTCGCCAGTGTCCTCGGGCTCCGTCATGCTTGTACGAGGCTTCGCCAGTGTCCTCGGGCTCCGTCATGCTTGTACGAGGCTTCGCCAGTGTCCTCGGGCTCCGTCGTGCTTGTACGAGGCTTCGCCAGTGTCCTCGGGCTCCGTCATGCTTGTACGAGGCTTCGTCAGTGTCCTCGGGCTCCGTCATGCTTGTACGAGGCTTCGCCAGTGTCCTCGGGCTCCGTCGTGCTTGTACGAGGCTTCGCCAGTGTCCTCGGGCTCCGTCGTGCTTGTACGAGGCTTCGCCAGTGTCCTCGGGCTCCGTCATGCTTGTACGAGGCTTCGCCAGTGTCCTCGGGCTCCGTCATGCTGGCGCGAGGCCTCGCCAGTGTCCTCGGGCGGCGGTTGACATCAGTCGAGTTGGATTGGCCTAGGTCAGGGGCCCGTCCACGGACGGCGGCCTGGCTGGGGCAGGTCAGGAGGGGGCGCGCGCCTGAGGGCAAAATCGAGCTGTCCCACCACAGCCGGCGTGCCAGCCGGCAGCCAATAAAACCCATCGCCGTCCCCACAGTAAATCCAAAATTGCCTCCAGAGGTTCGGGGCAATTCTACAAACTGCGAACATTAATAACTTTTATGTCGGTCCGTATTACTTTCAGCAGAGCGGGATATTACGGCCGACTGAGTTACTGGCGTCGCAAGCTGACGAGAAATGTATAGGTCATCATAAAGAAATCCGAGATGTGCCACCCACTGTCCGCGGGCGGCCGCGCGACGGCCGAACGGCCGGCAGGGACGCTGAATGTGTGTCACCCGCAGCAGCACCTCCCAAAGAACGGACGTCCTGGAGAGTGACCACGCGGACTCCGGCGGCGCCGTGTGGTGAGGCGCGCGGCCGGAACACTGTCACCGACGGCAGCGACTACGAACTGAATCGCTGCGGCTCTTTCCACTGGGAAATGATGCTGAACAAGTGCCGGATGACTTTAAGTGAAAAAAGTGGTGGCCAATACCGTTGCCGGCTGTCGGCCGCGATCCAAAGCAGATGTCTTACACGGAGTTCTCATTTATCTTTGTTTTACATAAACACATGGCTATATATATATATATATATATATATATATATATATATATATATATATATATATATATATGACATATGTTTGTCATCCTTAACACGTATCCATGCCTTTACTCGTTGGTGATTAGTGGTGTCGGCAGCCCTGATCGTGACAAACCAAACCACTATTAATGTCAGAGGCATCTAAATGATGAAAAATAGTAACAGATACTAAAAATTAGCAGCAATCAACATATTATGCGTTTCCTTCACCTACATCATTGTGGCTGAGCCGGCACAAATGATTGTACCTCAGATGCACTTGCAGCTGTCAATTATCCAGTCAAGGCTGCAAAGGTAGTTTATTGCATCTTTTACGATAACCCAAGCTTAGGAATGCCAATTTGCTCAATTTATGATCCAAGCATATCATTCAGCGTGTTCGGTTTGACGTCACGGTCCGGCTGTCGTCAGCATTCCGTCCGATACAAATGCAACTGCATTCATACTTCTGTTACAACTTCCGCCTTGCTTCTGTTGCCGCTTTCTCTTCTTCCTTTTGTGTTTTCATCCGCCCACCACCGCGCCGACCTGAGAAGCTACAACTTAGGTGCCAGGGGAATCTTAAATGTCTACGCTGCCATCAGCTGTTAATGCGTCGCCAGACTCAGGCGCAGCTGCCGGCGCTGGCCGCGACCGTGACGGCGCGCTCACCTGGAGACCGTTGTAGTGGTCGCCTGTCGGGGCCGGGCCGGCCGCTGGGCCCGGGCAGCAGGCCGGCGGGATGGCCATTGGGCGAGAACGGCCCGCCGCCGGCGTACAGGCCATAGCCGTTAATGCCGCGGTAGGCCAGCGGCACGCCCGGCTCGAACTTGAGGCCGCCGTCGACCGAGTCGGCCAGCTGCTCCTGCTGGTAAGAGTCGAGCCGGTGCCGGTACGGCCAGGCGGCCAGCGGCGAGAGCCGGCCGCACGACGAGGCCGCCGAGTTGGCCCGGTGCCGGTAGTCGCCGCCGAGGAATCCCGCCTGCGTCGGGTGCAGCGGACTCTCGGCGAACCGGCCGTCCAGGCCGTCGCCCAGCGACGACGACGGGCTCGGCGTGTGGTCCAGGCCGCCGCGGATGGGCTCCACCTTCTTCTTGGCGCGGCCGCGCTTCTTCTCATACTTGGACGTCTCGAGCGTGGCGCGCCGGCGCGTGCATTTGCCCGTCTTGGCGTCCGGGTTGATCATCCACCAGGAGGACTTGCCGGTGCCCTCGTTCTGTACCTTGATGAAACGGCTGTGCAGTGAGAGATTGTGCCGGATCGAGTTCTGAAACGGAGCGAAGGCTACGTTACGAAGGGGCGGGGAATCCGGACCCGAGATATGGGTTTGATCCCACTGACCACCCGTTCACCTGCTTACCCATGCCAGACATCCACTGCATTCTTACTCTGTCATTGCTGTGGCCTTTGTGTGATGCGTATCACCGCGCTGGCTTGATATAGATAGAGACAAAAACTGACGCCAATCTGAGTAACGTTGCAATTGTCGTATCAGGATAGAACGCCTCGGCTGTCTGGGGCGGACCATGGCAAGCGCTGTGTCATCCCGTGGTCACTCGCGCGCACGGGATGACGGCACCGTCGGCGGCGGCCGGCCTCCGGCGGTCCCGGACCCGCCGACGGCAGCGCGCCACGCACCGAGCATTCGTCGTCACCTGCGCTATCACCGCGCCACCGCCGCGCCGTTGCACGAGGTCAGGCGGCGCGCCGCCGCCCGGCCGAGCCGCGCTATCGCGATCTGATCGGACACGGTGCCGGCGCCGCGCGGCCGCCACTCTCGCGGACACGCCGCGCGACGTGTCCGGCGCCGGACAGCCGCCCGCTGTCCCGCATTCCGGCCGTCCGCGCCCGGACAAAACACTTGCAATGCAAAGCGGATGATGAACGGCCGTGCAGCGGCACGGAGCTGGCGTGGCGCGGCGGACGGCAGCGCCAGCGCGCTGCGGCCCGACCGCCCCCCGAGGCGGAGGCAGAAAGACGGACGCAATTGAGCAAACAGAGTTGCTGTCGTTCCGCGCTGTAAGAAGAGGTTCGGATGAAGTGCCTTTCCGGCGATAACATCGGCGAACCGTTAGCGACGGCCACCCGGATTTCCTTAAAGAGATCATCTCCGAACGCCTAGCTTCGTCAGCTAGATGCCACCTCGGCATGGATTCAAACGCGCCGACATTGTGAGCCCACCACATGCGTCCCGTTACAAAACGCATCTTACCAAAATGTATCTCACCTCATCTGTCACATGCAAGGCAGCTGTCTCAAAAACCGTCCCGTTGCTGCCAGGCAAAAGTCTCTGACCGTCGGTTGCGTGCCGACCCAGGTGGTGGTCTCTTGAGAATGGCGCACCGACGCCCCGGCGGTGAATGCAACAGGAAACCCACGCAGCCCGCCCTTGGAGCGACCTTGGACCGCTGCCACCGATTAGCCCTGGATTCATACCCGGCCGGGTGGCTTGCGCAACGCCGCTCGGAGACCGCGTCTGGCATTGGTCGCTGCACAGACCCGGGACCACCGGTGGCGTGCAGCCGGTCGGCACGCCCTACGCATTCGCATTGACCGAGCCCGAGGTCTGGCGGAGACCCAGAGCATCTGGCGGGCGTCAGAGTCGACGGCCGGCGGCTCTTGTTCGACGAAGTGAGTGCGAGAATTTGTAGACGCATGGTTCAGTGCTGGCTAAAAAGAGTCAAACTTTTTTAAAGTTAAGCTGCATGCGAAGCGGATGGACGGTGTATTACACAACCGAGTGCCGGCAAGGTCAGTGTGAACGAGCATTGGCATCACTTGCAGCTGCTATGATGTAAGCGTAATTCGAGTCGTCGAAGCAATGTAGCATCTCGTACAGACAGCAGTGAGTATAAACGTCCTTCGAATTTCTTGGGAGCAGGCAGGTGGCATATGTCCATCTTGATGACCACCGACTCGGCTAATACTTGCATCTGGGTGAGCATCCCATCGGCATCTTCATCTGAGCTACGAGCTAACGCCTGTCTCCCTCGAAATACATCAAGGAACGCGCTTAGTTGCAAAGTGAACTGCCACACCGCATCAGAGGCGTCTTCGAACAAAAACCCTCGCCAGCTGTGAGCGCTTGAGTAAGCTTGCTCGCCGTCGCTCCCAGCGCCGGTCCGGAGGCACCTCCCGCCCCTCCCATTGCTCGAAAGCCGTCTTTCGCAACCGGCAGTCGCTGCGGCGCCGCCCCGGCTGGCACGATGGGTACGATGGCCGAGGAGGCAGCGGCTGCGGCGTCTCGACACGCCGTCCGCCGGTCTCACCGCACGCCTCCGAGCCGGACACTCCTCCTCCCCTCATAATTGGGTCATGCACTGATTTACGGCGGGCCGCCGGTAGCCGAGCGCCGATCGCAGCGCCCTCTGCGATTGCGTCACGCGGAGCTGACCTGCCCCAGCAGGGCGCCGCTAACGGCAGGCCCGGCGGCCGCCCGCCGCCCGCCGCCGCCGGTCCGCCGCCACCCGCCGTCCGCTGCCGCCACCCGTAGTAGCGACCAGAGGAACGTGGCCGAAGGAACATGACGCGGGAACCAGGGACAGGGCTGTGCGTGCAGACTGGGGGACGATGACTCCAGGGTTCCGATGTTATTTTATCATTTGCATTGTACGTCATTGGAGATGACCCTGCAACACATGCTACTGATGCTGCAACACACGGTGCTGACGTTGCAACACACGCTGCTGCCGCTGCAACACGTAATAATACAATACAACAAATACCCGATTTCAAAAGCGTGACAACTTCTGCGCAAATGGATGCAGCGAAAGAGAAAAAAAGCAAGTGTATAATCTCTTGTGTCTTCGCTTTCCAGCCACATGATGACATGTGATCAGTGTCTCCTGAGAAGATGCCATCCATGAAGATGCCATCATCTACTTCAAGCAGGAGATAAGGATCATGCTATCTAACGGTGACAATGGAATCATTGTCACTGTTCATGTACCGTTTTGCGTAAACTTTTTCATGGCGATCGCTACGTACGTGCTAATGCGGACAAAATCAAACCGTTGTTACGGCCTATTTTTGTGATGACGTATACTGAAGAATGCGCCAGTTGTCTTTGTATATGGTTGCAGTGGGCGTTCCAACATCAAGAGAGGGAATGACACATCTGACTCCTGACTCTGACTATGACTCATCTGAGATCGAAATGTGCTCTGTCATGTGTGCGCCGAACTTTTACCACTGAAGTCAATGATCAGCATGATCAGCTCGGTCTCACCTATACAGGCACTAGGGCGAGGCTGACTTAGTAATGGAGGCGGTAGAGATGGCTGGCATGTTGGCGAAAAAGACAAGTGCATTTCGTGTCACAATGACGTTGTCCTACAGATTCCCATGTCAAGGGATGTCCTTTCGTTTTAGCGAGTCTGTCGTAATTCAACGTCAAAGAGCTCACCACGCTTCACGATGGACTTATCTGTAGGTCGAATGGTGAAAACCTGACAACGCTCACGGCTCTCTTCAATGAATGCCATAACATATACGCCAATAGAATCTGTCCCTCCGCACAACCGGCTTTCCCTTCGACATGAAAATACACGTCGAACAATATCCAGCCTTTCTCAGTGATCCTCCTTTCGGGCCGCACGTTCGGCTGCGCATTTCGGGCCATTCCAACGCACTCTAAGAGCGAGCAAATGCATTCTGCATGGCGACTGCGCCCCGAACGGCCGAACTTTTGCAGGCGGCCGGCGCGGCGCGCCGAGTCCATTAGGGCGGCGCTGGGGGCGGCGGCCGAGCGCCCAGTTAACATATTAAACGCGGCGCTGCCGTGACGCCGGAGGGAAATATCGGCGAAACGATAGCGTGCCGACTGTCCGCGGCGCCGCTGCATTTATAATGAGCGCAAATGGATTGCCATGCGGACGGAGACGCGGAGCGCCTCGGTCGCGGTCCGTGCCGGGCCGGCCGGCGATGCCGCGTGCACGGACGCTGTGCACGGACGTTGTGCACGAGTGGCGTGCACGGCCCGCCGAGGTTAGCCAAATAAACAGGTCGCGGAGAGGCGCCGCTCTGGCTGACAGCGGCTGTGCTTCAAATCGAGGCGTCGCCGGAGCGGCTGGCCCAGAGACGGGCTGGCCTGGCTGGACTGAGAGCTGGCTCAGAGACGGCTGGCCCAGAGACGGGCTGGGCTGGCTGGGCTGAGAGCTGGCTTAGAGATGGCTGGCCCAGAGACGGGCTGGGCTGGCTGGGCTGAGCGCTGGCTCAGAGACGGCTGGCCCAGAGACGGGCTGGGCTGGCTGAACTGAGAGCTGGCTTAGAGATGGCTGGCCCAGGGACAGGCTGGGCTGGCTGGCTCACAGACGGGCTGGGCTGGCTGGGCTGAGAGCTGGCCCACAGACAGGCCGGGCCCTCAGGCTGGCCAGGCGGATTCAGAGACTGTCACAGGATAAGCGTAAGGGCGTGGTTAGTACAAGCGTTTGGTCAGAACCATCTGTGACGACCGTGCACTCCAGCTCTCCCCAGCCTCGTCTTTGCTCCATGCGAGAACGTGAAGCACGCGGCCGCGATCGAAGTGGAGTCCCTTCCACTTCCGTGGCCGGAGCCGCTTCGAAAACCACAGCCGCTGCCAATGCGCAGTGATGAATAATTCCTACGGCGCCGGCTCTCACCCGTTCTGCCGGGCTCTCGCTCGCGCCAGCCCCCCCCCCCCCCCCCAGCCCCAGCACGCCCCTCGCACGCTCACGGGCGAGCCGAAATGGCCCGGACAGGTTCAATACGTTGGCAGCGGCGGTGTCCAATATCTGGCGGGGTAAAAGTCGGCGGCTGGCAGGCAGGCGACGGCTGCCCAGCGAGAACCGGGGATGATGGCAGCGGCGCCCGAAGCGCGGCAGCCGGCTGATGCCAAGGCGACCGTGGCGCTCGGCGTGATAAAGTTCCCACCTGGGGCATGCGCGTGAGCAACAGTGCGCGCGAGGAACAGTGCCGATGATCAGATGCTGACTGGTGCGTGAGAAGGCAAGGTTAAGGGGAAAGTTAACCCACGCTCCAAGCAGGTATGGATGTAACTGATGTATGAATATAACGGATGTGTGAATATAACGGATGTATGTATGTATGGGTATACGGGCGTGGTGTAGGGGCTCCTTTGAAGAACATGTCAGTGAAATAAAATAGGTATTGCAATTCGAATTTTGTTTTATCAGATAGCCGTCATCCTGTGGAGGTAATGACCATCCATACACAAAAACGGCAAAGCCACAAGAGCACTTTATGGGTGATGACTGGACAACCAGCCCACTGCAGCTAGGTGCTGAC